GGTGGAGCATGTGCCTAAACCAGGGTTGTTACAGCCTCTACATATTCCTCATCAGGCTTGGGAAGTAATTACTATGGATTTTATTGAGGGTTTGCCTACATCTTTGAGAAAGAATTGTATTCTTGTGGTGGTTGACAAGTTTACTAAATATAGCCATTTTTTTGCATTAGCACACCCTTACACTGCTGTAGAGGTAGCCAAATTATACATAGATTCTGTCTACAAGTTGCATGGCCAGCCTAAAATGGCCATTTCAGACAGGGACAAGACTTTCACTAGCCTCTTTTGGAGAGAGCTAATGAAACAGTTAGGCACTAAGACCCTATTTAGCACTGCTTACCATCCTGAAACTAATGGACAGTCAAAAAGAGTAAATCAGTGCTTAGAACAGTATCTTAGGGGCCTCTGTTTTTTCCAACCAAAGCAATGGGCAAAGTGGTTGCCTCATGCTGAATGGTGGTATAATACTACCTACCATATTGCTCTTAAGTTAACACCTTTTGAAGTCCTATATGGCTACAAGCCTCCTACTATGGTATGGCATACAAACAGTTCAGTGCAAAGCATATCAGAGTTAATGCAGAATAGGGAAGATATCAGGCAATTAGTCAAGTCTCAGTTAGAACAGGCAAGTAATCGAATGAAGCAAAAAGCAAATAAACACAGATCAAAGAGAACTTTTCAGGTTGGTGATTTGGTTTACCTGAAATTGCAGCCTTATAGACAGACCTCTCTTGCCCTGCGAAAAAATTTAAAATTAGCAGCACGATTTTATGGACCTTATAAGATTATTGAAAGAATTGGAGAGGTTGCTTATAAGCTAGACTTACCGGAGACCTCACGTCTACATCCGGATTTTCATGTTAGTTTATTGAAAAAACATATTGGTGCAGCCGTATCATCTTTAATAGATCCTCCTGTAATGGACGAAGAAGGTCAGTTAAAGATTGAACCAAGTCAAATCCTGGGCAGACGAATAGTTAAACGACAAAACAAACTGATAACTCAGTTATTGGTTCGTTGGACTAACTTGGAGCTACGAACGACACATGGGAGGATTATTCTGTGCTTCGAGGTCAATTTCCGAATTTTGATCCTTGGGGACAAGGATCTTCTCCAGCGGCGGGTATTGTCACGGTTGGAAGATATGAGCGTGGAAACGAAGAGAAAAATGGTGAATTAGGGATTGAGATGCGAAGGAGAATTGTAAAAGGGGAATTAGGGATTGAGGTGCGAGAGGGAAATGAAAATGGGAAATTAGGGATTCTGGGAAATGAATTAAAGATCGGTTCAGAAGATGGTGAAGCAGACCGAGATATTATCCAAGAGGAAGTAGCAGCCCAATCAGTCCAAAAGGAGAAGGAATAGTCCACGTGTTCAGTCTAATACCCTGCAAGAAGAGAATCTATAGTTGTTATAATCTGTTAAAAGTACTGCCAGCTGGCATCCTTGCAAATGACTGTTTTAGCCCTGTAACTAAATAATATAGGTTGTAATAGGAATTGGATTCCTTATGAAATGAATGAAGAATTTTTCTTTCTGTAATCTCTCGTTTCTTACTTCTTAAATCCTTTCTTCTTCTTCGATTTCCTTCTCTAATATCTCCAGTCTATCACAAAATGTTATTGGTCGGGACCATAAATGACGTGGTGAGTCGGGTTCATTTAATAATTTTTCAAAGTGATGACATTAAACATGCCACAATATCACTATAGACATATAAGATTTGTCACGTCAACGATAATTGTTGACCGTTAATAAATTGATGGTTTTCATCCGATCATGGGACACCGTACCCCAAAATGAAATATTGAAATCTAAATGCTTCAAAAAAATAATACTTCAGGGATGAATTTTTACATTAGGCCCACATTTAAACACATTTTGTTTAACAGATGTTATTGCTGGTGGGAACTCAACTTCAAGGCATCGTCACAAAGGTGTGTTTGGGAAGACATGAGAAATCTCAAGTTGTGAGAGGAGCTTTCCTTGTCAAGCCTAGTGACCATTTCTTCTGGTTTGGTCGACCCAAATTTCTTCTCCACCTATGCACTTCATATTGTTTCAGGTCAACCCAGAACTTAATATATTCATTAGAATTTGATGATCAAGTTCTTAATCTAAAGGACATTTTGGGTTTGCAGAATTCATTTCAATCTGGCATTCTTCACATGGACTTGGGTAAGCATTTTCTTTTTTTAATAGTTTGGGTGATTACAAGATAGTATATGTTTAAAACTCTCTTAACCAATCGACAACGCATATACACCCTATGTAGATAGATCTAAGACCTCTAGAGAAAACAACACTCCCTTTTACTTGAGATTCTTTTTTTCTTAAAAACCGCAGTACAGATTTGGATTAAGATCATGTTTCCATCAAAAGGCTGAAGATATTGAAGCTTTGGTTCAAATCCTTTGCGGATATGTTACTCTGCCTTTATACGCTTTAGTCATTCAGGTAACAATATTGCATGTTTTTCATGTACACGCCATCAGTAAATCCATACAGCTACCCATAAATAGTAAATCCATACAGATTTGGATTCGAACGATTACAAAGACTGAATAGATATTATATTGTAATCATTCTAAATTATTTAAAATTAAATTTAAAACTCGAATCTCCTTTATCAATAATTGCTTACTCAACTTTTAACAGATGGGAAAATCAATGAAGAAAACTATCTTTGGAGAAAAGTGGTGGAAGGTTTGAAGAGATGGAGAGCCAATGCTAGGAAAAACATAGCACTAAAAGATAATACAACATCATTTGACGCCTCTCCTTCACTTGAAACTTCACCTTCTTTTAGACTCGATATCGCTCGTCGCGAAAAATCGAATCAGCCATCGTAATTGATGTAAGAAGAGAAATAGAAGATCATCAAGAGAGAGGGTTTTTTTATTTGTTTGTTTGTTTAGTGTCTTCATATGTACATTTTGTGGGTACGTGGGAACATAGATTGATACATATATATACATTTTAAGACCTCCGAAATAAAAAGGGTAAATTGCATTGACAGTCTCTCATATATGTAGGCATTTTTGTTGTGTCCCTTAGTTATAAGAAGTTACGAAATAGTCATTTGAGTTAACGGAAGTAGCAAATTAAACTGAAAATCGCATATGACAGTTCACTCACCACTTGTATAGATTAAGTAAACCAAACATTAGTCATGAGTCATTAATCCATTGCAATTCTAACATCAAGTTAGTGTTGCATGTAGGACGGGCATGAGACCTGAAACCGACAGGTTCCGATCTGACCCGACCTGATCGGGTCAGGTTTTTTTTTTAAAAATGGATTCGGGTCAGGTTTTTTAATTGTGATGTTCGGGTCGGATTTGGTTTAGGGTGAAAAATAACCGACCCAAAAAAATAATAATTTTATGTAATATATTTAGAAATACTTACAATAATATCCCTCTATATATTTTTTTTTCAATTAAGTCTGTTTTTTATTGAATAAAAATAATATTTTTTTTATTATTTCGGGTCGGGTCAAATCGGGTCATATTTTTAAGTTATATATCGGGTCGGGTTCAGATCGGGTGAAATCTTGTTTTGATCGAGTCGGGTCGATCTCGGGTAGAAGATTCCTTATTCTTGAGTCGGATCGGATGGACCAAAAACCCGACCCCGACCCAACCCATGCTCATCCCTAATTGCATGCACGTAGGTTGTTTTAACTGTATCCAGGATTGTCGAATTGAGTGATAATCTAATCGACTTAGGCCATGTTCTATAATTTGAGCAACTCCATATTGCTTGAAATATGTGTCCGAAACTTTAGATATCCAGTTTTTTGGAATAAGATATAGATCAATATTTTACTTAAATCTCATATATTTAAATTTGTAGATCGAATATAATATGATATTCGAATCTATACACTCTTACTCAGTGATATCGTCATCCTTAAGATTTAAAACGTTTTTTTCTTGGGTAAGGTAAACATGGTGTTACTTTGTTTAGTCCACTGACTATTAAAAGTTATAAAATGTACCCCGACTATAAGATATTGCTTTGTAAAGTCTCCCGACTATTAAAAGTTATAAAATAGTCACTCGACTATTCATATTTTCCAAACTCGTCATTTTTTGTTAAAAAAATTGACAGTCATTTGAGTTCAACGTTAACCTGCTGACTGAGATATGATAAAATTATATTTTAATAATGTATATTGACACCATAATTGCTTTTAAGCACTGGTTCGACAACATAGTGTTTCAAGCATTGGCTCGACGACATAGTGTTCAAGCACTGGCTCGACGACATAGTGTTTCAAACACTGGCTCGACGACATAATGTAAACAAAAGACTAGGTCCATAAAATACAACTTAAATAGTTATGAGATCAAATTTTATTATATTCAAGTGAGTAGGTTAACATCCAACTCAGACGACAATCAAATTTTTAATGGAAAATGACGAATTTAGAACATGTGAATAGTCGAGTGAGTATTTATAACTTTTAATAATCGAATGACTCAACTAAGCAACGCCTAATAATCAAAAGACTATTTCGTAACGTTCAATAGTCAGAATATTCAATAAAACAACGCCCGTGGATTATTTATATACATTATCTTTTTCTTTTTAAAATAATAAGTGAATTTGATTAATGAAAAAATACGTTAATACTTATCCAAAAATAGAATTGAAAAATCATTATATTAATATCCAAGCATGTGGTTATTATACAAATAGAAGCTTAATGGCCACCACTATTTTCTTTCCCTAAAACAAGAAAAATGCATTAAATTTAGACCACAAATTACTAAGAAAAACACTTGACAATGAGGAAAAGGCAGAAAAACCCGACAATTGCTCTACGCCGCCTCTTGTCTAGTGGTGTTCAAGCCCCTCTCTCGATTCAATCGTCAATTTTCGAAGCTTTCCCATCAGATTAAGACGTTTTTTTAATTCAAAGAATCGTTTTTTTAACCATGAAATCAAGCATCATCCAGTTTTTAATTGTCATTATCTTGTGAATAAACAAATAATATAACTTCTCTCTCTCTGTTTTTTTTTCATCGTTAAAGAGCTTATTGAGATGAACAAAGTCTAAGGCTTTTTCAAAAAGGCAAAGAAAAACCCAGAAATATATGTAAATTTTGAAGGGAAAGGAACAAATCTCTGTAGATATTGCTATACTTTTCTTTGTTTTTAAAGGTTTAATTGTTTTGGTTTTTTGAATGGTAAAATTTTAATAAAAATAGTCAGAAAGCTCAACCTTTGGGCCATCCGATGGATTCCGAGTTCTGGAAGTCTCGTCTCGCCGCTGCCAAACGCCAATATAATTTGCAGCACCGCCATCAGACCTCTCATTTAGGTATGTTTGATTTCAATTTTTTCTGGGTTTTTTTTTTTTTTTGCTATTTATTCCATCTCATTTTTTACTTTCTGAAACATGAACAAAAGAAATGAATAAAGATCGTTTGAGCATCGATGATTTTGAGGTAGACGATGAAGTTCGACCCGATTTCCCATGTCCGTACTGTTACGAGGATTTCGATATTGCGTCTCTGTGTTCGCATCTCGAAGATGATCATCCCTGCGAATCAAAAGTTACGGTAAGCAAATTTGATTAACCTTAAGAAAAATATTTTTTTAGTCGAGGATTTAAATTGCCATTGTGTTTGCGTTTGTGTTTGCGTTTTCGGCTGTGTTGTGTTCGATTGCAGATATGGCGGATGCTATTGCGGTTAGGTATTTTATGGTAATGCAATACCTGCTATACGTCTGATATTCCGATAGTAAACAAAAATTAGCTGACCCTATTATCATATATAATGGGGAGAATGGGAGCTAGGGTGGTAGGCTAGCCCAACGCCAGGTTGAGAGCAGCTATAACGTATGCTATTCCGATAGTAAACCGCTATTTAAATCCCGGGATACGAGTTCATTGTCGTTTGTATAACGTTTGATGAACTAAAACATACACTTTATGGATGGTACATGATGCCTCAAGCCGGGATGAATCGAGGGGGCCTGGAATGTTACTTTATGTTTTCTATTGATAATCTAATTTTGTCTCTTAAAATTTTATATTTCGCATATAAAATTTTGCTTTCGTGCCTAACCTTAAGTAAGCTAATCATAGGTCATTTAGCCTCAAGTAAACTGGGTTGGTGATGTTATTTTTATGCGGGGAAATGAATGCTGTACTCAACGGATAAAACATGGAAAGTGTACATACATGGGAAAGGGATGTGTGACTGGTAGATAATGTTTAGTATTGAGAATTAGCATAGAGTATGTGCCATTGCTAAGGGTATAGAGGAATGAACATTTGGTATACATCATGGATGATGGAGGTAGATTTCAATAGCTAATCAATTCCTAGACATCTCCCCCTTTTCGATCCGTAGGAGATTCCTGTCCGGTTTCATTAAAATCCCTTTGGTCTCACCCTGTCTGTAGTGCAGACTCGATTCAACTGCAGGTCTATGGTTCGTTCGCTGGAATAATCTAATCTTGTGCTCTTCTTTTTGGCTCTGTCTGATTGCCTTCTGTAACTTCTGTGTCTGAGATTGATGAAATTCGAAATAGTTATATGCAGGGACAAATACAACTCATTAGTTTGGTTTAACATCGAACTTCATTATCCTTCACCTTCGGATTTATGATGGAAAAAAGGTCCCGTAGATGTTTTTCATGGTGAATCGTCTAATGCTGGCATCGATCTTTCCGTTACAGATTTGTCCGGTCTGCTACGTCAAAGTAGCCAGAGACATGCTAAGTCATATCACGCTGCAACACGGGAATTTGTTCAAGATATCCTTCGATAACGGGACTTCTCATTTCCTTGTTTTTCTTCTTCATCTGATTTGGAAATTATGCTCTTGCCAGTTGAACTGTATATAACTTTAGTTTCCCTTAACAAAAGATTACTTGCAGAGACGTCGCAGGCTACGTAGAGTTGCGATTCCGAACAGTCAGGCGCTGTCACTCCTCGGTAGGGATCTGCGAGAAGCGCATTTGCAAGTACTTCTAGGTGGCGGTGCGTATAGGCCAAGCAGTGTCAATGCGTCCAGTGCCGCCACCGATTCGTTCCTTTCGTCACTCATCATGAATTTCCCTGCATCTGAAACCGAAGAAATTACGAAATCCTTCGTGACTAGTTTCGAAGATACAACAGGGAAGAATGCGGCAGCGGCACACATGTGGAAATCAAGGTAATGGCCAAAGTACGAACTTTCTGTTTGCAACTCGGATACAATTCATATGTCCAAGACATAATGCTTCTTGTTTTTTTTGTTTGTGTCGTCTCGAACAGTTTCGATCCTTCGTTGAGTAACGAAGAACGTGAAAAACGGATCCGGCAGGCCACGGGAAGAGCCGGATTCGTGCAAGATCTGGTGTTGACAACTCTGTTAAAAGAGCGAGTGAAATGAGAAACTAATGTAGTAATTGAACTGTTGAGAGGCATTTCTGGGTAAGGATTGAAACAAGTTGATATGGTTTGAATCGAAACCCCAATACATTAGTAATGAAAATGTTGAAGCTTCATGATCAGATTGTCTTTTATGGATGTGATGTGATGTAATTATTTAACGTTTTAGTTTTATTTTAATTATTCGTTATTAAAAAATTTATTATCGTTAAAAAAATTAACAAATTTTTTGACGTGATATTTTTTAAAAGAATTTCAATAATTATGTGATATTATTATATGGTAAGATATTATCATTATCGTTTTTTTTTAAACGATAAATGACTAAAATAAAATTAAAATATAATGTTAAGTATAGTTTTAAAATAAAAATAATTGAATTATTAAAACAGAATAAAAATAATCATTTGAGTACTAATTGTGGAGTTTACCCTTATTATTATTTTGGTCTTCAATTTATGACTACTTTTATCAAGCTTAACACAAAATAAGTGTTTGAATTTTGTCTCGAAAAATATTTTAGTGTTTATAGAATTTTTCTTAAATTTAGGTGGTTAACGTTTACATTGGAATACTTTTAAGTGTTTAGATCGTAACAATCATTAAATTTAATGATTAAGTGATACGTGTTAAGTTATATAATTTTAAGAATTTTTTTTAAAATTTTTTAAAAAAAATTATTAAAAAAAAAGTCTTGTGTAGCAACCTTCTCCCTTCCCCCTTTCTCCTTACATGATCGTCGGTCGACCAGTTGTGATTGTCACCATCACTATCGTTAGCATTACTGTCGACCTGATCAAACCCATGTTGGTCTTTCATCTTAAGATGCCAATGTATGTCATGGAAAAGCGTTTAAAGGTTCGTCGAATTTTAAGCCATCGTCGTTTTTCGTCAGCTGCGGTCAATCTCGACATCCATAAGCCACATCGTCACCACCATTCAAACCACCGTGTAATTCAACTCAAAACCCATCTTCGTCGGTGCTCTGTCGGTGCTCCTTCGACATTCTATCATGGAGATTAAATTTTAAAGTTTTAGGGATTCGTATGTTGGGAATTTTAGAGATTTAAGGGATTTGAGTATTTGACTGATAATAAGAACGAAGATTATCGATGAGTAATCGGCGACGGGTGAGTGATCATTCGACGATGACGATGGTGGTCGGATATTGTCAGTGACGGTTGGTAACGGGCTGAAGTGAGATTTTTTTAGTTTTTTAGAGTTTTTTCCTGACATGTCATTAAACCTTCTTCTTTCTTCTTCTTCTTCTTCAACTCCCGTTGACCCTTATTCTTCTTTTCTCCTAATCCAACTCATCATTTCTCTCTCTCTAGAACCGGAAGAAAATCTGCAAAAACCAACCACCAAAAGAAACCTCAATTTTCTCATCAAATTTCGAAAACGCAACTTGATCTACCCACACAGAGACCGAGAAGAACTAACCATAACATCACAGCAGAAGCAAGCGATAATTTAACGAAACCGCACAGCGATTTAAAGGCCAACAGCGAAAGGCCCGTCCAGGAATCCGGAAAAACCCAGAACCCACATAAACCACCATCGCAATGACTTGAAGCCACCACGAGATATTCCTGGCCATGGCTGCACCCAGTAGACCGAGCTCCAGCTTGGTCACCAGAGCCCAGTTCAACAAAACAAGACAGCCCAAGCTGAAGACAGAGATCACGGTCATAACCCAGACTTTGCTTTGAGCTTGAAGGAACATTTGGATCGGGAAATTGATAGCTTAAGCGAAGAACTGGGGGATCACCATCCTACAATATTTTTTTCGGCAAGTTCCGCGATATCCTTGTCTTGTCGTAGTAGGTTTAGTATCGGTTCTGTGAGGAGGTAACATGGGGTTTGACATAGAGCGGTTATTCCGGTTATGATCCATGATCTTTGGAGATAGATTCCGAGCATGTTGTTTTATCCGGCGCCAACGGCTTGACCGCATAGTGTTTCGAGTGCACTTCTCATTCCTAACTAAACAAGGACACGAGCATAAGGATACGATCATCGGAAGATACGAGTCTAGGGTTTTGATATCACTCACCATGATACTGAAAACGAAGCCTTCGATGACATTCGTCGTTATGGTAACTACAGCGAGTTGAAGTTCTCCCAAGTGACCGGCGAAAGCGACGGTGACGAAACCGATCGAAAACTGAGAGACCGATACCAAAATTGCAGGGCCTGCGATCTCCCACATCTTCTTTGATTCTTCCCAGCTTTTTCTTATGATCTTTTGCTTCACCGTCGACTCTCCTCTCGTCTGTCTCTCCGTTCGAAATGTTTTTATTTCTGTTGGCTTTTCTTCTGCTTTTGTTGAATTCATTTTCGCTTTCTCAGATCAAATTATCTGTAATTCTTTTTTTGCAATACGAGTACGACGACCGTTGAATGAGCAATGCTTAACTTGGTTCTAGAGAGAGAAAGAATGAGATGGATTAAGAGAGAAGAAGAAGAAAGAAGAAAAGAAAAAGAAGGGGTTAACGGGAGTTGAAGAAGAAGAAGAAAGAAGAAGGTTAATACCATGTCAGCAAAACAAGAAGGTTAACGGAGGGTTAAAGAAGAAGGTTAACGTGAGCAAAAACGGGAGGTAACAATAAGAAATTTATTCAAAACGAACTAAAAGTTCGATGACCGAATTTTAAGTTTCAAAAGTTAAGTGACCAAAATACAGATAGCCTAAATGTTTGGTGACTATTTTTATAGTTTAGCCTATCTTAATTGTTATTAGATCAACTAAACAAATCAGAAGTCGATCCTTAACAAGTCAGAATTCGATTCATTAGGACTGTTTTGGCAATTTTTGGATTAAATATTAAAATACTTTTTCTTTTAATTATATTCTTACTTTTATTTATATTATTTAATTTTTATATGTATTTGCAGTGTAAAGTTTGTTATTATATGTTGATTAATAAAATTTGTTTCAAAAATACCTTAATGTAACATTATTAAAGTAAGAGTCCTTGTATTTAATAAATAATTTTTACCAGAGAGTTATATGAACAAGAGATTTATCTGCTCCGTGCTTCACTCGAATCTGATGCTAGGCATTTCAAATGACAACTTCAATTCCTAATAGCTTCCTAGCTCTAACGCAGCCTCCCAATCTTTCAATTAACCGGCTGCCGCTCTCTTCCACTCGAATATTCACCGGCGGCAACCGTAGCTTCCTCTCTGGCGGCGCTGGAATATGCAGAGCAAAGGGTCGAGAGATTGTCATCGGCAACCCCGTCGTGACCGTCGAAAAAGGCAAGTACAGCTACGACGTCGAGACTCTAATCAACAAGCTAAGCAGCCTCCCGCCGCGCGGCAGCATTGCCAGATGCCTCGACGTCTTCCGCAACAAACTCTCGCTGAAAGACTTCTCTTTGGTGTTCAAAGAGTTCGCCCACCGCGGCGATTGGCAACGCTCCCTCCGCCTCTTCAAATACATGCAGCGCCAGATCTGGTGCAACCCCAACGAACACATCTACACCATCATGATCAGTCTCTTGGGACGCGAAGGCTTGCTAGATAAATGCCTCGAGGTGTTCGACGAAATGCCTAGCCAAGGCGTGCCTCGCAGTGTCTTCTCCTACACCGCGTTGATCAATGCCTACGGACGGAACGGTGAGTACGATGTTTCTCTTGAGTTACTAGCCAAAATGAAGAAAGACAAAGTGTTGCCCAATATCTTGACTTATAACACTGTGATTAATGCGTGCGCTAGGGGTGGGTTGGATTGGGAGGGTTTGTTAGGGTTGTTTGCTGAAATGAGACATGAAGGAATACAGCCTGACATTGTGACGTATAATACTTTTCTTAGTGCTTGTGCTGATAGGGTTTCAGGCAATGAGGCCGAAATGGTTTTTAGGAATATGAATGAAGCCGGGATATTGCCCGATTTAACGACTTATAGGTATCTTGTTGAGACATTTATGAAGTTAGGAAAGCTGGAGAAAGTTGCTCAGTTGCTTAAGGAAATGGAAGCGGGAGGGAATTTGCTGGATATTATGTCATATAACGTGTTGTTAGACGCATATGCTAAGTCAGGGTCGATTAAGGAAGCGATGGGCGTGTTTAGGCAGATGCAAGCCGCAGGATGTGTGCCGAATGCAGCTACTTATAGTATTTTGTTAAATTTGTACGGGAGGAATGGGCAGTATGACGACGTCCGAGAGCTTTTTCTCGAGATGAAAGCTAGCAATACGGAGCCGGATGCGGCTACTTATAATATTTTGATCAGGTTTTTGGAGAGGGTGGGTATTTTAAGGAGGTTGTGACTTTGTTTCACGATATGGTAGAGGAGAATGTTGAGCCTAACATGAAGACTTACGATGGTTTGATATTTGCTTGTGGGAAGGGAGGGCTTCACGAGGATGCCAAGAAAATTCTACTTCACATGCATGAAAGAGGGATAATACCTAGTTCCTGGGCTTATACTGGTGTTACCGAGGCTTATGGACATGCGACATTATACGAGGAAGCTCTAGTTGCCTTTAACACGATGAATGAGGTAGGGAGCAAACCGACCATTAAAACTTACGATTCATTCCTTGAGACTTTTGCTAGAGGTGGATTGTACAAGGAAGCTGAAGCGATTTTGACTAGAATGAACGAGGCCGGTGTTGCAAAGAGCAGGGATTCGTTCAATGCTCTGATCGAAGCGTTTAGCCAAGGAGGCCAGTTTGAGAATGCTATCAAGGCTTACGTAGAGATGGAAAAGGCAAGATGTGATCCCGATGAACGGACCCTTGAAGCGGTTTTAAGCGTGTATTGCTTTGCAGGCCTTTGTGATGAGAGCAATGGGCAATTCAATGAAATCAAAGCTTTAGGAATTTTGCCTAGTGTCATGTGCTATTGCATTATGCTGGCAGTTTATGCGAAGTGTGACAGGTGGGACGATGCCTATAAGTTACTCGATGAGATGCTTGCGAACAGAGTGTCGAATGTTCATCAAGTAATTGGACAGATGATAAGAGGAGATTTCGATGGTGATTCAAACTGGCAGATGGTAGAGTACATCTTTGACAAACTCAACTCCGAAGGATGTGGCTTCGGAGTAAGGTTCTATAATGCTCTTTTAGAAGCACTTTGGTGGTTGGGTCAGAAAGAACGAGCCGCAAGGGTGCTCAAGGAAGCAACAAACAGAGGCCTCTTCCCCGAACTCTTCCGTCAAAACAAACTTGTATTCTCAGTGGATGTTCACAGGATGTGGGAAGGTGGCACTTACGCAGCTATGTCGATCTGGCTCAACAATATGCAGGAGATGTTTTTGAGCGGCGACGATCTTCCTCAACTTGCTACTGTGGTCGTTGCACGGGGACAGATGGAGAAAAGCTTGATTGCTCGTGATATTCCAGTTGCTAAGGCTGCCTATAAATTCCTCGAGGATAATTTGCCGTCATCGTTTTCTTTTCAAGGGTGGAACAATGGGCGTCTTCTCTGTCAGCGGTCTCAGCTCAAGCCAGTGTTCTCTGCCGCAGATTCATCTTCAGAGGTTAACATAATAGCTTTAAGTAACTCATCTATTCCTTCTATGGCATTGAAATGATTTTCTAGCAATGTAGAGTGTAGCTTACATGACAATGTGATCTCTCAAACAAAAACGAAGAGCTTTTTGCCCATAAAAAATTGTATAAGAATCTTGTCATAATATATGTGTAATTTATCTTAAAATTAAGATTAATATTATAAAAAAAACATCCATCGGTTTATTATTTTTAATCAAATAACACTTCAAGATATTATTTGAGAAAAATATAAAAACTATTAACATCAATAAGTCATGAGTTATTAAAAGAAGCTTAATACAACTAACTAAATTATACCAAAAATTGACATTTGGTGTCTAAAGAATTTTTGTTAAAAATAAGTGTCTAAGGTTATTTCCGTTACACTCTATATGTCTACTTTTAAAAGAATGGTAAGTGACGTGTGTCACGTTCAGATTTTTTTTGATTTTTTTAAATAATATTCTATTTTAAAAAAATAAAAAATATAAACGTAACATGTGTCAAATTTTTTTAAAGATTAACACCTAAAAGTGTAACAGAGAAAATGTTAGACAATTATTTTTAACGAAAAATTATTTAGACACCTAAAATAATTTAAAGTATAGTTTAGACACTTAATTTATTAATTCTAAAAAAAATGAAACATTAGAGTAATGATTCGTTAAACTATTAACTCATATTATAATGATAATGACGGTGGGAAACTAAATGGTAAACTACGCTTTTAGTACCTAAACTATTAATTTGTTACGTTTTAGTATTTAAATTTTTAATTTTTTAAAATCATACATAACTTTTAGTTTTTGTTTCATTTTAGTAGTACCTCATTGTTAAAAACTTAACACTATTAGTGCCTATACTATTACTTTTGGTCTGTTTTAGTACCTAAACTTTCAAAAATTTATCAAAACTCAACATTAAATTTTGAACATGTACTAAAATGAAACAAAAACTAAATTTTAAATATGATTTTGAAAAAAAAAATAAAAGTTTAAGTAGAGGTGTTCACTATTTGATTTTAACCGAATTAACCGACCGAACTGAATTAGTTCGGTTAATTTGGTCAGTCGCCGAATTAGTTCAATCGGAGAACGGTTAATACTTTTTTCAATATTATGTTAACGTTTAATTCGGTTCGACATCGGTTAATTAACCAAAATTATATATATATATATTATAAACACATTTTAAGCTCAAATCCATTAAAAATTAATACCATTATTTTTTAATCACACTAGACTCATTAAATTATAAATACCTAATTATTTTTTAACTCAAATAAAAAATATACATATATTATATTTAAATTAATCTAATTATAAAAAATAATAAAAATAAATTCGGTTAACAGGAAAAAATAACCGAACTTTGTTCGGTTTGGTTAATATTTTCAAAAAAAAATCGGTTCGGTTAACGGTTAAAGAAAAAAAGTTCTGTTAATTCGGTTAATAGTAATTTGGTTCAGTCGGTGGCCGAATTAACCGTTTGAACGATAAGTAATAAAATAAATTAAAACTAATAGTTTAGGTACTAAACACATAATTTACCCAAAAATAAAAATCTTTTTCATCGATTACTAGATAATATAATACGAGTGAATATTTGATGCTCTAACTATGTATAATGAATCAAATAATGAGACATTATCAATAATAGATTTTGTTTTAAAATTTTGAAATGGTATGTCATAAATTAATTCTTTAGTAGTAAATAAATTTATATATCATCAACACATTAAATATTGATCTATATAATATTATGATATTTTGTTTGTTTAAATTATTATTTGTTAAATATGTTTTTAATGAATATAAAAGAAAATACAAGTCCGCGATATGTTTATCTTTTTAAATATAATAAATAATATATAATTATATTAATATACATTTACTCCAGTAATTTAAATTTTTTATTCTTATAACATTTTATATATATATATATATATATTATAGTTTTTAAAAGTTTTAAAATTTTAAAAATATTATATATTTATATATTTAAATTATTTTAGAAAGCTGCATGCAACATATATATCACTTTCATCTCCTACCACGGCTGCCATTGTTGATGATCCATATTTTTTTCCTCCGAAACGCTGCGTCTTCATGTGAGTATAACATAGTTTCATAGTCCTTACCAAGTTTTAAATTGTCGTTGCGATCGCTTTTTTTGGGTTATATTGTCTTTTACAATTACAAACATAACGAGTATTATTACGATCGGATATCGCAATCATATAATAACGGTCTTGGATAACACCACTATCTCTATATAACAACCACAATCACTGCTTAAATCTCTCATCCTTGGGATTTAACCACGCCAACTATGTGAATTGAAGCAGAAATAAAGGTGGAAGCTTGAGTTATCGACATGTTGTAGTATGAACACCGTGTGTTTGACAAGTGAAGCCTTTGACAGTTTTCGGTCGTTTCCTTTCCCATAACTAAACTTGACCCAGGCCCGTAAGTTCAGGTCTAGAAAAGGGTTGAACTTTGTTGGCTCCATCTTGTTTTGCGATATGAACCGGTTGTAGGGATAGACGTAAATTTTTATGTTAAGAAGTGAATTTATAAAAGTTTAAGGACCAAAACATGTTGTCAATAAAAACTATTGAGAAAGTACTTAAATTATATGTCCCGTCAACCCCTCAATCTATTCCTGATTGGTGGTGACCAGAACATGGCTTTGGGTTGGATCACCATATCCATTGCTTAATTGCAACTATCTCAAGCTTGTTATACAGCTCCCTCTCGAGCAATTGTAACGCTTAAACGGGAATTCAACGCTACTCATGGGGAAAAAAACAAGATTTCTTGGGAGCTGCATGTTGGATAGGTATGTATTTATTGTCTGCTTATCTGTATGTGTGTTTTATATTTAAGTTTTAATATATTTGAAACATTTGCATTAATGACTGAACCAAGATTTTGAATGCAAAGATTTATTGAAATTGTCTTTAGACATTTCCTTAATTGAAATGATTGGAATTCAATGAAACATTAAGTAATCATGCTCAAGTATTTTGTGATCAGCTGATGATCATAAAATCTTTCATGCTGAGATATTGAGTTCAGTTCCTACTGATGAAATTGGTGTGATAGAGCAAACTGCAAACCATGGCTAGGAGCTGTAAATTTTGTTATCGAATCGAAGAATCCGAACATCATCTGTTACATATCAGCATAGATAGTAATTTTACCATGATTGATACTCTGTTTGTTCCTAGGATAGTTAGCGCAAATACTATGTTAGGATTCAGCTGATGATCATAAATCTTTCATGCTGAGATATTGAGTTCAGTTCCTACTGATGAAATTGGTGTGATAGAGCAAACTGCAAACCATGGCTAGGAGCTGTAAATTTTGTTATCGAATCGAAGAATCCGAACATCATCTGTTACATATCAGCATAGATAGTAATTTTACCATGATTGATACTCTGTTTGTTCCTAGGATAGTTAGCGCAAAATACTATGTTAGGATTTTGGACAATTATGACAGCTTCAATGGGAAAGCTTTAAGAAGAATCTAAGCTTCCGCAAATAAAGATTTACCATAATTTTTTTTTCAGTATAGAAAGGTGCCTAATGTGGCTACATAAAGTTTCACAATACCTTTCAACCTTCTTCTATACTTTTAAGAAATCTCGGTTTCGAAATCTATGACTATTTCTGGTTTGATCTCTTTATTAGTAATGCTGCCTTGCAATTTTAGTTTATTGTACCAAAAGCTGAAGTCCTTGAATTGCTTTATCTTGCAGACAAGATGATATTTATAAACCTCATGGCCTGCAATTGGAAATGGGGTTAGTTTGGCTTCAATAGGGCATTTTGTCAAGATATATTTCGAGCTGATATATATATATACATAAATGTATATATATATATATATATATATATATATATATATATATATATATTATTTTGTAATTTCATCCCTAAAAATGTAGAAATAAGAAAGTCGATATGAACGATGAAGCGATTCCTTCTTACCTCATATTACTATCGTGGCGTGAAATCAATGACGCTCATACAACGTGTCCGGCGTAACGTTCTAGATGTTGACAGCTATAGGTATCTTCGGCGAGTGTTGCATACCTATGCTTCATTGGTTGCATGAAGCTCTGATTCTTGGTCTATATAGTTCACAGTTGTGCCTAGAAATCATCTCACAGCCCACTGATCTCAGTTATATGTTACCATTTCTGAATTTGTTTCACTTGCTTCCAAAATCCGAAAATCACCCGAAGTTATTAGTTGTAGAATCTTATAGGTGATGGATAAAGGTCTTTTGTCGATGATTCCTATGCGAACAGAGAATCGAGACTTTGATCTGTAAGTAATCAAAAGGCTTTCTTATTGTAGCTGATGTATTCAGTTGGTTTCCTAGTTTTCTTTGTCAAGACACCTAATGTTCATCCATATTTCAGGTTCATCTTAGAATTGTGCTATCGAAATGAAGATTTCTTGATTACATGCTTTCCTGTAAGAACAAGATTCAGCGTTGTTTAGATGCATACTTGTTCCTGATTCCCGATAAGATGTTGGTACAATCTGTCTCTAGCATCTGTTACAATCATTAATCGGCTTAGCAATGCTCTTCATGATCAATAAAGGTTCTTGCGCTTAGCTTATATGGATTATACCTATAATTAAGCTGCAGGGAGCATCTGCATGTATTGTTTGACAGCGCCTTTCGTCGTAGTTAAGCCCAAAGTATGGTTTCCGAGCATAGAGTGTCTTGATTTCATAACTTAAAAGGTTTTCTATTGATATAACCATAAACATACCATAATTAGTTTTGATACCCTCACGTTGAACTGCTTTTCTTGATCATTGACATTTTTATACATGAAACAAACCGCATTTTCCAATTCCCACCTTGATTTTTCCTACTCCAAAGGCATATGGTTTCTGTTTAGTTTTAGACGATCATTCCATGCATCGATCACCAAAATTTTCAGTTCATTTTCTTTTTTCCATTAATGAGATTTGACTGTTGGTTTTGATCCTTCAAGCAGATGACAAGAGAAGCAGAATATGGACATGGTGAAGTTCAACAAATATCCAAGAAAACCCTCATGGAAGCCTATATTCCTAATTAGATTTCAGCCACATTTTTTATCCAAACCATTCAACCATCTTTTTTACTCACAATAGAGGCATTATTTACCAAAAAAGTCAAGGGTAAAAAAAAACTAGAAAAACACCGTTTATCTCCCCATGTTTAAATGCAGAAGGTTATAAGTTGGGCAAGGATCGATGCTTGGTGTTTTGTGCAGAATGAGGTCAATTGGTGAGGCACATTTAAACCAAAGGTGGCGCCAACACTCCCTCAAGCGCACTCAGTGGTCAGATGAGTATCCCAAAACCACTTTTCGCAGGCCACTTGTCAGCCGCACCGCCACCCCATTGGCATCCTCTTTGCTTCTCTCACTCTCCATATGCAATTCCATGGCCTTTTTCTCTCTCCACAACAGATCCCCCTGCACCTCTTGACGCGTTTCTCATGCCTTTTTCACACCTGGACTCGCCCTAATGGCAGCATCCTACACTCCCACGACCTTATTGAACCACACTTTGTTCTCACTCAAAACAGAAAAGAAGAACACACACAAAGCAGTTCACTCTTCTCTGATAATTCCCTTCACTCATCATCATCATCGCATTGCACCTTTGTCCTCATGGAGAACTATTACATACCCTTTTTCACCACCGCCACAACCGCCGCCGCCACCACCTCGAACATGGGTTGCTCTTCGAATTCAGACTTCACCTCAAATATGGTTTTGCCACCTTACCAGGGGCTGCAACTCCCATACAGACATCCCATGGAGCAGGCTCCTATGTATCCTTGCTTTGATTTTGGGGTATGGAATGAACAAGAGAGAAGAATCATGGATCCTTACAGAACAAAGATGGCAAGGATTAACAGAAAGCTGGCACGGCAAAGAAGCCTCAGCTTGCAAAGAAACGCTGCTTCAATGGCTTCAACGCAGGTGGATACAAGGAGAGTGATCCACTCTGGTATTAACACTCACATGAGACAAAAATAATACCAGTAAGGATCTTTATAACTTCATATCACCAGACAACAAGGTGCATTTTGAGAACTTGTTGAAGTTTCCATTTTTTAGATTTTCATCATCTTGACTAACGACTGAAATTGTTTTAACTTGGAAATAATGCAGAGACTGAGAGTGTTGCTAAAGAAGGAGTTGAAGAACAGCGATGTCGGCTCTCTAGGGAGAATTGTTCTTCCAAAGGTGAGGCTAATTTTACTGTTCTTCCACTTTAAAAGATGAATTTTGAAAGAAAGAGAAGAAGTAAGTCTTAAAAAAAGAGCCAACCAATAACTATTCCTTCATTTCCTCTCATTGATTACTGCAACATTGTTGTCATCTTACACTGTGCAGTAACTAATATTACTCCTTTCTTGACTTCTCGATTCTCGCACATTGAAAAAATCATAATCAATTCTTAAGCTTTATCTATGGCATGCAAATTATGATTATCTTGCATGCTGGTTTATATTTTATTCATCTTCTGAAAATGTCATAATCTTAAGCTTTATCTATGGTGTTTAATTATCTGCAACTCAAACCAGAGAGAGACAGAAGCAAACCTTCCAATTCTATGTGATAAAGAAGGCATCCGAATAACATTGAAGGATGTATACTCCAACAATGAGTGGACTCTCAAGTACAAGTAAGCAAAACTTAGAATTTGATTTGATAGAGATTGCCATAAGCAAAACTACCTTTTTTTATAGTTTGGGGGATTAAGGTAGTATCTATTCGAAGCTTTCTTAACCAATTGACAATGCACACACATCCTGCAGACGCATCTGCTCGAACTCAGAAACTCTATATATCACTAAGTCTTTGGACACCTTTTTAAGGGCTAGACTCTTTTGTTCATTGATGTCTCAGGTTCTGGATCAATAATAAAAGTAGAATGTATGTGCTAGAAAACACTGGTAAACCCTTCTTCCTACGTGACTTCTTTCCTATGGTTTCTTGAATTTCACTATATTTTCTCATCTCATTTTTTTCAATTCCTCAGGAGACTTTGTGAGGCAAAATGGAATGAGAAATGGAGACTCTCTTACGCTTTACGAAGATGAAAGCATGAATCTCGTGAGTTGAACTCCCCCCCCCCCTAATCCCAGTAATTAAGATTAAAGTAAAATATTTGGTCATAGCTTCGCTGGAGGACAGTAATGCCCTTGCCTTTTCTCTGTATTTACTGAGAGTATCCATCCTCCTACCTAAACAAGAGAGGGTTAGAATAGTCATAAAGGTGTAGCTTTAAATGACACGTAACTGATGATGTGTTGGCAATAGACTTGCCTTTTCAAAAGACAGCTAGGACTTGGCTTCTCACAACTAGTATTTATATATAACAAGTTATTTGATTATATTTTATTTATTAATAAATATTATTATCAATATAAAGACGAAAAGAGTTGAAATTACATACATATCTGTATTGTTTTGGTATATATCTGAAACGTTCCCTATGACTTCAGATACTCAAATGTAGACAAAATCTGTTGAATTTTATATTCGGAGACGCAAGATTTCATATTAAGAAGTGCGACCGCACCCGGTACTTTTATCGGTCCATCCCTGCATATCTTTATAATGCCAAGTATTCATATGGATTTGTCTACTCTTTGGATTGCAGTATTTCTCAATATCCAAGGTGGCAACGGCTGCTGTGAAGTCTTCAAGCAACCAAAACCAGTACTAAAGCAGCTTAAACAACAATGTCATCAACAACAACAGCAATAGCCATATTTATATGGCATCTAAAGATGATGAAGAAGCATCTTTAGAATTACTCAGAACAACTCAAGCACAAGGAACCACAAGAGCCTAATGACTTGATGATGACTTTGCCTATGGATGCCGCAAATAATTCAAGTAGGCCAGTGCAAACTCCGACGACATTGCCTGGATCAGGGAGTGTTGGTACTGTTTCAATGAACTTCGACGACTTCTATGGTGGCCTTGATATGCTGCCTGATGTTAATCACTACAATTTTTCACTTTGACATGGAAGGCATATCCGCAGCAGGATTCATGGGATCATAACAGTTTATGTAATCAAACTATAGTAATTTGGTTCTTGTGTGTGTGTGTGTTTTTTTTATATATATAGATGACATAGTTTTATAAGGTGGGAAAGGTATAGTTTTTTTTCTTTCTCTTGTTTAGTCTCGGGTCACGTGGGAGGAGTCGAGTTCTGGGCTATAGGGTGGCATTGGGTTTTGGGTTCTGAGTTCTGGGTTCGATCGATAACGACCAACATGGGTATAAGATTCAAATTAGGGTTTTCATATTTTTGAAGTTTTTTTAAGATTTGAGAATTTTTTGGGCTTTTATAATTTTAAGGTTTTTCAATATAAATAAAAATTTTAAAATAATATAAATGCGATATGTGTCATTTAATTGAGGAATTTGATGACGGTAATAGTCCAAACACTTAAAAGTGTAATGTTGAAAACATTAAAACGTCTAAATTGACCAAAAATAATTTATGTACTTAAATGAAAAAATATGTATAGTTTAGACACTTATTTTCAATTAAGTCAAAGAAAAATAAATGACATAATTTACATAGTTGCCGGCAAATGTGCATATCTAAATAAATATATAGGTCGATTAAATTTTGGTTGCGTTCATTCTCCATCGTTCATTAATCTTAAATTAGACTGTCATCTCTATTTCCCAGCTATAACACTTGAAACCCTTCTTAAAAATCCTTACAAGTTTGTAAATATTACATTGGATCATTAGAATGATTGAAATTTTTTAAACAAAACATAACATAAATTCTCAATATAAAACGGTTTATACAAAAAAATCAGAGGTATTATATTTTCAAAACAAATACACATAAATATAAAGTCCAAATAATTTAAAACCCAACTCATCAAGATTTTGACATATACATGCCCATTAAAGTTTATTTATTTTACTCGAGAGATCCTAACGAGTCTCCTTTGATGATGTTATTGTCTCATCACGAACCAAAGAATCAATATGATATTGTCTCGTCGCGGACCAAAGGATGATCTTGACTATGAATCTCAATAACCTTATTTCGATGTCTCATCGCGGACCAAAGAATCAATATGATGTTATTGTCTCATCGCGGACCAAAGAATCAATCATCTTCACTTCAAAAATATTTATGATCTTGACTATGAATCTTAATAACCTTGTTTTGATGTCAATTTATCATAGATGGATTGTTAATCAGATGAAATTCTAAGAAAGAAAGAAACTCAGAAATTCCATTGATTTTGTACCTCAAATGCAGAAAATTGTAGTGAAAAGCATACAAGATTAGCGGATGATTCTTATCATCAAGCATTAGGCTATACAAGCATGTACAAATGTTGTAAATACAGCTTTTAAGGGCTCCTATATCAACTTCAGCGTCAGCCCAACAATAACTTGGGCATGGAAACCATTGCAGTAGCTGACCTAAACTAGATTTTCCGAATCGAGTGGTTCGGACTTTATGTAATCAACATAAATTGCACACTAAATACTCCGACGGCACATATGTATTCGAATGTACTTGATCACCTTAGGTGGGAATCTTGAGTATCGAAAATGGTATCAGGGACGATTAGTGGCAATTTATCTACATACATGAAAAGCCTTCTAAGATTCTCCCTTGTCACTGTGGCCACGTCGATTATATGCCGGCTGTCGGTATATACCCAGAGATCCCCCGAGTCGACTCTCTTTAGACTATCACGACAGAAGGGGCAAGACTGTGATCTTGCCCGCCTGCATTTCATGATTGAATGATTAATCATGATAACAAGACTACCTGCAAATAGATCATCCATTGGCAACCCCTAAACACCAGATAGAGCAACAACAGTTTTAAGGATTGTAAAAGAAAAACTACAGACTTCATTGCAAAGTTACTGAAGATAAAGATTACTGGATATTCATTATATGTCGAACACTAATATTTTTCAGCTCTACTTTTGGTTGTTCCGAGTTTCGATCATACCAGAGGATCAGGAAACTATGCGAAGAAAACTGGGAATCAACCTAGAATATTTACTCGGTTGTTTCTCGAGAACACTATCCAAGTTAGATTCAGCAGCGCTGTTAGGTTTAAAGGTAACAAAAAACAATCTTCGATACATGGACTGGTAGGTAATCCCTCTCCACTCGAACCACAAAAAATGTAGTAAAAGTTTCATTTACGAGGTAAAGCAATTTGCTTAACTCGAGAGTCAAGACAACAAGTGAGCGATGATATCTAACAGTTAAAAACCGATAAAGTGTTTGGAAACTCGATACCGAGTGATGACAACTTTATAGAGAGAGATATTTAGAAAACAACGGTGTTGAAGTCAGGACACGGTTGAAAACCCAAAAACAATCAGAAGCAACTCGAACTATACTGGAAGACGTGTATGGTTCCTTCTTACAAAGATGCAAGAAAAACATCAAATTGTCTGTTCTACATGATAATGCATGGTTGATGTTGATAAAAGAACCAACTGCTTTAACCGGAGTAAAGATATAGAATACAGGAAGCAAAAACGAGAGAGGAATAAGGGAAAGAAAGGCGGGGAGAGGAAGAATACCAATCATGGTAACATTTCAAACACAAGGCGTGAGTACAGTTCGGCAGCACGATTTTACTGTTCAACTCCATGCATATTCCACATTCTTGTTCCCTTTCCACATCAACATCAGTAAGTTGCCTATACTCATCTTCATTTCTTCGGTATCTTTCCATGCACACTGCTTTCTGTTTTTTATCTTCAGCATCAGTGACACCCCTCTGAAGTTGCAGTAAAGATGGATAGATAACAGCTGGATACAAAGAACTCAGAACCCTTACAACAACTCGAATCGATGAGAAACAAAACACTCGGATTGAGAAAAGATACCATAGAACTCTCTTATGCTTGCTTTCCTTTCATGCGTAGACATCGTGGTAGTTCCATCCACATAAACCTGCAGGATATGATACAGCGATGAAAACAACTAATTTTCGTGATTACAAACACTAGCCGAACACGAAGTAATAAAACATAACCTTGTAAATTAGGATTCTTAACAGTCCAAGGGCACCTGCAAGGTGACAATCAGTCCACTGCACCAAGAATAAGAACAGATGTGCAGCTGGACTGTATGACATTCTCATTTGAAGGCATGCCCCATCATATTCCCTTGGAAAATCCGAAGCCCTGCACCTTGCGTTTCATGATGGACAATAACACAGAGTGAGAAGAACATAGTGGTAACATTAATCAATTCACGCCAAAATATATCCATTAACAACGACGACTGCAAAGCAGAATTATGCAGGACGAGCAACAACCATATGGTTTCACCTAGAAGTTCACGTCTATTCTATGATTCAAATTCAAAGGAACGAAATTAGCTACTCGTGGAACTCCAGGTTCAGCAACCGCAAAGAAATCAATATTTTATATTCTAGCTGTTTAAAAGTTTCAAGCTTGATGAGCAGTAGCATAGCATACATTCCAAAGCTCAAACATCATCAGAAAAATAACTGAAAAACACAAAATGAAAATAAATTTAAAAAAGGAAAGAAAAGGCTTACAGAGTGTTGGCATGTTGAATATCAGCTTCTAGCACTTTAAGAGAGTCCTTGAAAGACTTTAGCCTAGAACCTATATACATCTCTCTCCCACACCCAAAAAAAACCCTAATTTACCTCAAAATCAAACCCCCCCCCAAAAAATAACCTAATTCCCTTGCTCCAAGCTTTGAGATTTCGCAGAAAAGAAGTCTCTCTCTGTCTTGGGTGGTTGTTGGTGCCGGTGACAGTGGCTTCGTATTTGAAAGTGAAGGGAAGATGTTAAAAGCTGACACGTGGATTATCGTCTGTCGTGGAACGTCCATATCTATATACTCTACTCCAGTAGTTTTAATTTTTTTTCATCGTTAACAAAAACTAAGGGAAGATTATTATATTTAGAGGTTTTTAATTGAGTACAAGGATTACAGGATATTTAAATATTTATTGTTATTGAGTTTTTAAAATATTTATTATCATTCGTAATTATTTTAGATTAATAAAAAATTAATTTTATGAGAACTAATTAAGTAGTCACTAACACCTTAATCTAATCCGACCCGAAGGTCAAATGATTAAAATGTCACATGGGACTTGTAACACCCAAATTCGATTAAAACGAAACTCGGTGGGTTTGAGTATTACAAGAGACTACTAAAGTGGCCTGAGTCATATCTAACTTAGATGATCATATTTTGTTAAAAGAAATCGGGTGTCCTGATTGTTTCCTTAGCATCAGTCAATGCTAATTTTATGTTATCCTAATTGTTACTAGGGATGGGCACGGGGCAGGGCGAGAGGATTTTTGATTGCCCCAACCTCTACCCGAAAATATATACCTAAAACTTAAACCCATCCCGCTTCAAAAAAAATCAGGTTTTTTCTTACCCCGAACACCCCAAATTTTAAACTAAAACCCCGATCACGACCCTAACATGAATATATTAATTTATTAAAATAATATAAATTATAATAATATATTTATAATTATTTATTATATTTTAAATAACTAAATTAATATATTTTATAATAATTTTTATACTTTAATGATATAAAAATTAAATTCTTAAAATATTAAATGTAATATATATATATAAATATAAATTAATCGGGTCTGGTTTAGTCACTGATTTTTCACCTAAAACTCAACCCCAACGTGCCCCAAAATTTTACATCATATACCCTGCCCCGCCCCAAGGCCCAACATTTTTAAAAAAAATGACCTTATAGGGTCAGGTCGGGACCCGTCGGGTTCGAGTATTTTGACCATCCGTAGTTGTTCTTGTTTCTAGCTGTTATGTATTTATTACTATTCTCACTTGTAGTGTTATTCCATAGTAATATGATATTAATGGGCACCTCGAACCTAACCCTTAACCCAATAGATTTCTTATCCAAAATTGTTTGTGGGTAATGATACTAAGCCCCTTTAGTATCGATATCGACACCTGGGTATCGATACTAACTGACTATTATGAACACATAAGGATGGTAGTATCGATACTCCTGAACCTAGTATCGATACTATTACACTAGGGTATTGATTCTGCCATGAGTATTGATACCAAATTAAGCTTCGATGTTTTAAAGAATACCCCAGTATTGATACCCCTACTGGGAGTATCGATATTCTACCCCCAATATCGATACTCCCATGAGTACTGATACCAAAATTGGTTACTAGAATTTTCTAAGCATTTCTGGTATCCATACCATTCTAGATGGTATCGAGACCTAACCATCAGCATCGATACCCCATGAAGAAGTATCGATACTCCTAGCCTAAAACTCCCTTATTTTAATCACATGACGAATAATATCGATCTTGTTCTTTCAATATCGATACTCATGCCTATAAATGCCTTGTTTTGGGCATAAAAAATACTAGCTTTCCTCCCCCAAAAAACCTACTGAGGTTCCCAATTGTTATTGCAGTTTTATATGTGATAGAAGGAATCATAAAAAGACTTTTTAACATGTTGAAAACATCAAAAGATGCAATCTACCATGGACATGTTTCATAACTCATACAACCTACCAAAACTCACCTAGTGATCTACATGCGATAGAGTTGAGTTAGAAGTGAGTTACCTTAGATTTCTAAGCTACTGGAAGTGTCCAAGGCTCAACCAAGAGTCATTTTTTCTTTCCCCTGTTTTTGGAGCTTTTTTCTACTTCACTCACTAGACAGGGATCAAAGAATGTATTACTGACTTGCTTAAGAGGTTAGGAAGAGATTTATAACAATTTATAAGGCTTGAACTCCTTGAAATCATATTAAAACACCTAAGTTCCTTAAACCCCAACAAAACTCATATTTGATTATCAGGGTGAAACGAAGACGTTGAGGGCTCGATTTGAAGCTCTAAAGATAGAGGTTATGAATCTTACTTTTAGAATTCCAAACTACAGAGGGAGGGGAAAAAGAGGTGTCTGCAACATAACCTCACCAACAATTAAACAAAATCAGCTTTTAAAAAGTTTAGGGGATAATTGCTCTTCTAATTCTTCTTGATTTACTTCAAGATTAAAAATGCCCTTTTTAACACGCATTAGGGCCAAACCAATCCCAATCTCAAACTCAACTGGACCAAGCTTCCTTCCAAAGCTAATGGGTTATCTAGAACACTCTTGGGTTAACCTGAAACTCCTAACTCGAGATTCGAGACTGTAGACACTCATTTTCGTCCGTATTTTTTTATTCTCATTTTATTATATATATATATATATATATATTATAGTCTTTAAAACATTTTGGAAACATATGTTATATAGTTTTTAAAACATTTTGAAAATATATATAATATATAGTTTTTAAAACATTTTGAAAACATATATATATTATATAGTTTTAAAATATTATAAAAAACATATATATATTATATAGTTTTTAAAACATTTTGAAAATATATATATATAATATATAGTGTTGAAAAATATATATATTATATAGTTTTGAAAATTAGTTTTTAAAAATATATATTATATAGTTTTGAAAATTATTTTTAAAAATATATATTATATGCTTTTGAAAATTATTTTTTTATAACATATATATTATATAGTTTTAAAAATTATTTTTTAAAACATATATATTATGTAGTTTTAAAAATGTTTTTTATTATTTTTATTTATTTTTTATTATTTTTTCTCCTCGTTTTAGGTCCAATCTAAGTCTAGTGGGCCCAACTAGGTAGCCTGACCCAACAGACCCGGTCAGGCCCAAAAGGGAAACTAGGGTTCCCACAATTAGCAAGGCACCGCGCAGGAGGAAGTCAAAGGGTCGGTCACGCGAAACGGCCATACATCGGCCGAGGATCTTGGGATTTCAGCAACAACGTTCACATCCCCGAGCAAAACGGAACAACCCGGGGTACTGGCTCACCGAGCAGGGTATAAATACCCCGATGACCATCATCGAACACGGGGAGAACCCACGAGAATTACCAAGTAACATCGAGAGACAGAACCATCGGAACTAACGAAAAACAAAGGCATCAACACAACCAAAACACACATCAACAGTGAAAACCAACAACAACAAGATCGAGCCACAGAACCAAACACGAACTACAAAGGTAAAGCAACACGAAAATATAGCAAAAACCATTCGGGAAATAAAGCAAGGCACAAGAAACAAAACCGAAAGCACCATCAACACAAAGGAGAATAACGATCGAAACCTCGTTGAAAGAAAGAGCCATCAGAAGCGGAAGAGTCGCCGGAGAAAGGCAGGTGCAGAGAAATTATTTTTTAGATCTACGCTTATTTGGGTCTATTTTGAGGATTTGGACGATGGTTTCGGGTTCACGGGGCTGGCACGATCATTTTGAGGTAAGGGTGATTTTTTCGGCCGCCATAGGCGGCGGCCGGAGTAACGGTTGGCACGGTGGAGAGGTCACTGGGCGGCAGGCGGACGTTCGACCGATGAGAGAGTTTTCTCTCTCTCTCTTTCTTCTTTCACCTCAAGATGAAGCAAATGAGGGAGATTGGGGCATTTTGGCTTAAGAGAAGGGTATATATAGTTTAGGCAAAACGACGTCGTTTCACTGGGGACCTTGTGGGCATTTTCGGGTGGGTAAATTGTGCACCAGGGGCCTCCGTGTTTTACAAATTTTTGTTTTGGTTACCTATTGTGTTTTAATTACATTATACTACCTATTTTGTTTTAATTACATTATACTTCACGCATCGCATTTATTAATTTTAAATTTTGGTCACTGTTTCTCATTTTTAGTTAAATCTTGAATTTAGCATGTATGTTTATTTTGTTTTATTTTGGTCCTTTAACCTTTTTCCTTTTTTCTTTTTCTTTTTTCTTTTGTTTTTTATTTTCATTATTATTACTTATCTATTTAATTTAATTTATTATTATATTATTATTTTTTGTTTTCATTTATTTTTCTTTTGACTTATTCTCTTTATTTTTACTCATTTTTATTTTTCTCTTTAATTTTTTTATTCAATTCTTTTTTCCTTTTGACTTTTTTTCAATTTATTAATTTAGTATTTTATTAATTTATTTATTTTCCTGACATTTTTTTCCAATCAATCAAAGGTGAGTAATTTGAATCGAGTTTTTAAATTTCAATTTAAATTTAAATTTTTAATTTTCGCAATTAAATACAACCGACAAATTAATTGGTACCGAAAGGGCGGTTCAAGGGTGCTAATCCTTCCTTGACCGTAACCGACTCCCGAACCCAACACATTTCTGGTAAAACGCATATCATGTAAGATGGTGTTCAATCTACCTAAATATCATTTTAAAATAATCGGTGGTGACTCTAACCCGTTTCATTCAACTCGAAGCCCAATTCTGGGCCCAACCGAAAGACGACCGCGACAGAGACGTTACAGTCTCAATTACTAAAAAAATGTTATTTTATTTTAAGATTTTATATTTGAGCAATTGTGTTTATAGAATGTCTGTATGTTTTCAATGATTAAAAAAATTCTAAACATATATTAAATAATTTTTTAAGGTAATGAACTGATTGAATGATTTCTGTGATACTACTTTATGATCACCTTAAACTATTTAAAAAGAATTCAAGGGAATAGTATATAGAATTAAGATTATGGAAAAGAATTCAAGGGAATAATATATAGAATTAAGATAATAATCTTTTCCATTAAATGATCTTTTTCGCGAACTAAACGCCCCCTTAACACTTTAAACTATTTTTTATAATTAAAATAATGAGGATGCACTTAATCTCTTAGAGAGTCGATTGAATCTGCCCCAAGTCATTATAAATAATTTATTAATACGTTCAATGTTGACGCATATATATTAATAACAAAAAAATTTCGTATAGACAAGTATAAATAAAATTTAGGCAAAAAGACACCCAAGATCCTTGAACTTTCAAAAAAAAAAAATCAATGCAACCCTCATTCTATTTTTTGGATCAATGTGGCCTTCCAACTCGAAAAAAAAAATCAATATAACCCTTTAACCAATGTTTTTCGTCATTGACCAATGGTTCCGTTAATTCCTATTGTTATAAATTGGGTAAATTATTCTATTCATCACTCAACTATTTTATTCTCTTCTATTTTGGTCACTAAACTCTAAAAGTTTTCAATTTCAAAAGTTTTAGAGACTTCATGGACTAAGGGCTGTAGTTAACCTATTTTTTTAAGGATAAACTACACAAATGATCACTTTTGTTTCAGGGAATTACTAGTCATGGGTCTTTTTGTAAACCCAAGATAATTCAGTGATAAAATATCAATTCCCCTTTTTTCCATATGTTTTCTTCCCCAAATTTGTTTATTCTAATTTATTATTAACGTTATCCTCAAAACTTGATATTGCAAGTAAAGGTGCACAAAAAATTTGAATATCCGATTTTACGTAAAAAATATTTGAAATCGGATTTGAGAAAAACCGTTTTTTTTAAACAGGATCGGATATTTTAAAACCGGATAGTATAACCGGTTTGGGAAAAAATTGGACGACCGAATTTTTTACCGGATTAAAAATCGGTTTGAAAAAAATCGGATAAAAAATTGGTTTTTTATCCGAAAAAAATCCGGTCTAGGGTTTAAAAATCCGATCTGAGGTTTAAAAATTTGGATGACCGGATTTTTTACCGGATTAAAAATCGGTTTTTTAAAAAAACCGGTTTTTTTCAAACCGAAACCGGTTACATCATCCGGCCCTCCAAACCGGTTTTTTTATAAACCGATTTTTTGACTTAGTGAAAAAACCGGATCGGTTTTTATCCGATCCGGATCGGATTTAAATCCGGCTATGTGCATCTCTAATTGCAAGTAATTTATAAAATTATCATTAGCAAATAATTCAAAAAAAAACTATTATGCTATTTAAAGTCCAAATATAGAGATGACTTGTCCTGAATATCAAGCGATCGACTTCCAAATGATATGTTGATCTGGACTAATACTAATAGCGAATTAAATTAAACCTAAAATGAATTAAAGTCTTAAATTCACCACTTTATAGTGTGACTTAATTTATTCCGGTACATCAAACCATACAGCAACTGTGTTTCATCAAGAAACGCCACGGATATCTCGGACATCGTTCGCCGATGACCGGCAATGTCACAAACGGCTCTTGAGGAAGTCGAGGATCAGACCGTTAACCAGTTCCGGTGACTGCTCTTGAACAAAGTGGGTTCCTTCAGGCAAATATATTATATCCAAATTAGGTACCAATTCTTTTGCCTTCCCAGACTTTATGTATTCTTCTATCCCAGGAAATTTAAAGAAATAATCTTTGCACCCCATTATCAGTAATGCCGGAACTTTAACCATCGGATTTGATATGCCAAAGTCTTCATCATATGACCTACAAAGACATTAAAATCATTGCCTTTTTGCATGACTATATGGTATGGTATGATTAGCTAGCTGCTCTAGCATATGCATGATGACAGAAGGAGTAAAGGGCACGCGAATGGTTCCGAACACAACAGCATACCTATATGGGACTTGCAATGCAGTCTTGAATCCGGATTTCTCGTATAAAGCCCCATATGTGGCGAGATCTTCCTCGGTGAACCAAGGTGGAAGAGGAACAGAAGCATCCACCAAATCCATTACCTCCTGGTTCTCGGCTGCGATCGGTATTTCACTTTTGGAGAATAGTATGTAGATGTTCCTTACGACAGTTTTAGCATCGAACCGTCCGAAGTCGGCTTCCGCTCGCCCAGGTTCCTTCGGGAAATCCGAACGGAACACAAGTTAATCAAGTAAGAAGAGTCATTTTCATTCCAATTACTTGCATAGCATTTCAACAATCAGTAATCCAAAACATACCCTCCATCTTAAAATGTAGAAGCCTTCAGGGAGAGACTCTCCGTACTTGCGAGGTCCCAAAGGCATATGTGGAGCTCCAACCGTTATAACACCCGAGACTCGATGGGGGTGAAGGAGAGTTAACAGATAAGCAGGTCTGACTCCAAAATCCTTGGCAACAACAAAAACCTGCGCTCATAAACAAGTAGCAAAGCAAAAATGGTAAAGAATCTGTTATGAGTTATGACCCAAGGGCAGCCTAACCCAACTCAACACACGCATCAACCATTGACAAATCAACAGATAAGCATTCCAAGGCCTTGTTGATTAGTCTCGGTAGTTATTAAATGCAATAGATAATACAAGAAAATGCATAAAAAGTTGTTATAATCTCATATCCTCTATCCCTTTCCAAACTATCACTTTTATTTCATTTTAGTATCTAAATTTATAATCACCCTATATTAATGGGGAAAAATGACAGTAACATGGTGCGCATAAATCTGATAAAGGGAAAAACACCAGAAATGCAAATCCTAACACATTCGAACTCTGTAGAAGTCGGGAAATTTGACCTTAGTAACTCCGAGGTGATCTAAGATAGCAACAAGGTCGGCGATGATGTCAGCAAAGGTTGTTTTCTCGGGTTCGGGAGGTATGTCGGATAGTCCGTAGCCTCTGTAATCGGGTGCAAGGGTCCGGAATCCGGCACCGGCGAGTGCTATCATCTGGTGTCGCCATGAATACCATATCTCCGGGAACCCATGTAAGAAGAGCACCACGGTAGAGCCTGAAGATTGAACCCAAAATAACAAGCTAAATCATCCAAGAAGAAAAAGTCAACGTTTTTAGTAAAAGAAGCGGGGAATATCAAATCGAAGATGAACCCATTTTTTTTTTTTACCAATCCCGAGCTCTGCAACGTGAAACTTTAGGCCTCGAACAGTGACGAAGTTGTGCTGGATTTGCTCCATTGTTTTTCTTCTATTTTCAATCAAGTGCTTTATTCACACCCAGTCTCTGTTCTGTTCTTTATTAGTTCAACAGTGAAGTACCAAACTAAAGCCCATTCATGGTAAAATTCCAAGTATAGTATATCATTAAATTATAATTTTCTAGGGTAAATTAATAAATCGTCACTGAACGTTCTCTCCTATCCTATTTTGGTCACTGAACTTTAAAACTTATCAATTTACTCACTCAACTTTCGAATTGCTCTTGTGTGGTCACTCTACCGTTAAATAATTAATGTCGTTATGAGTTATGACATGGCAACCAAAACTAAAATTATGTAGTTTTGGATTTTATAAAAAAATAACTTTAAACAAAAATGACAAATAAAAAATATTTTTCTTATTTTTCTTTATTTCCCCCCTTTCCTTCTTTTTCTACTCCTTTCACCCCATTTCTCTCCTCAACTTGAAAGAACCAGGTTTCGGCCACCATGTCGACCACAGTCGCCGGAGGCCAATGATTCTCAAATTGCCCTCCAAATGTGTCTCATCATTTTAAACGTAAACCCAATGTTCATTTAACCGGAAAATACCTCAAACTCTATGTATCTATCTAACTTCGATACCACTCGAGTTCTCGCAAATAAAAAAAGTTGCATTTTCTCGTATTCGGGCAATTCATTGTTCATGCATTTGATCTTGAACTGTTATCACCTAGTATTTTTTTTAAAAGTAGGTGTTTGATTAATATCAAAAGGACCTGCAACCGAACACAACATTAACACGGGCCTCGTTAAAAAACTTCCATATACTTAAATGCAGAAACGAGAGAGGTGATATGCACCAACTAAGTTAAAGGGATCCCTTTCTTAGCCGAAACATCAACATAACCGTTTGAATCTCTGGAGGTGACTTGAACCTTTCAAGAATATTTACAGCATAGCTGATGGCATAAAGCACAATCAGAACTACAATAAGATGGGGCAGGATACAGAGCGTTGATCCAGGAAACCACAAGATTGATGTTGTATTCAAGTTTAAGTCGGAAAAAATGGGACTAAATTTGTAACCCCTAATCTGATCTGACTCGAAGATCGACATACTAAAATATTACACGGGACCATCAAAGTGGTTAATCCAAATTTTTTTATAAAAAAAACTATGAAATCACTATTTAAATCGCCATCCATAAAACATAAAAATTTAAATTTGTAAAAGTGGGAAGTTCCCAGTATATTCATGAATAGTACAAATCAAATATTTTAAAATAGAGTTACGACTCAAATACATAAGATCTATAAACGGTACATACCTTCTAAATAAACTCAAGACGTATTTTGGTGTCTCGACAAGTCTAGAAACACTAATAGAGATAATGGTCCAGATCTCCTAAGAACTTACTCATGGAAACAAATCTCAAAAGTTGAGCTCATAAGCTCAATGCCACACTAATAAATATATTATACTACGTGCATTCACTACATGAGTATGCTAGCAAGCAGAGACATAACCATATGAGAAAATTAACATGTAAAGCTAAGATAGACACCATGGTGAGATCAAAGCGTTCTGCATCTCGGGACACACACCACTATAGCCTACCTATAATACCCTTGGACATTTGGGGTGAGATTCAAAACTGTATCAGAAATGTACACCCGATCAGCTTACTTATTAGGGTCTCAAGACATCTGGGCGCAACCAGCAACTAAGTGTCTTGACACTAATTGCCCTCAAAATCAAATCCAATAAAAAAAATCCTAATTCCCTTTCTACAAGCTGAGTTTTAACCTTTTTAAAGGTGAATCGATTAAGTCGACTCGTTGATTAAATCTATTTTTTAAAGAAATTTTGGGTTTAATTAGTGTTTATAAAGTGTGTATATATTATTAATGATTAATTTTTTAATAGATATTATTTTATAATAATTCAATTATTTAAAAAAATATTTTTAAGTGCAATAGTATATGAAAATAAGATACTATATATTTTTATTTATCAAGTAATTTCAATGATAAAAAAATATTATTTTTTAAAAAATCTTAAATTTAATTAGTCATATTTTCAAGATTTAAATAGTCATTATATTTATTAATTTTATTATAAAAAGATCATTATAATATTATGATGAATTATTAAGTTTTAATAACTTTAATAATAATTTTATAACATATTGATAAAATTGAATAATAATTTTGTAAAACTTCAATAAATATAATAATATTTTTGAAACCGTTAAAAAGATTAATAATTATTTTATAATTCACGTGGAAATTGTTGGAAATGTGTCACTCTGTAATGGTTCCTTTGACATATATTAAACATTTTGGTACTTTAATAAAAGTGTGTTATCATGGAGGCATAAACTTATATCTGGGGTGCGAACTTAAAGTTATATTAAAGCATACAGTAACTGTGTTTCATATTCATGCAGTATATCAAGATTCATACAAGCGTCACCGATTTCCGGCGATACGACGAGTCTCGACTTATTTTGTGAAAACTCGATTTTTGTAAAAGAAATGTTTCAGAGTCGCCATCGACCTTTTGGGTTAGGTAGGTCGAATACCCAAAAATCTTCTTTTAAAAGAGTTTTTTTAAGAAAAACATCATTTTAAAAGATGCATTGATCCACGTATAACCAGAAATTTATTTTTAGTAATAATAAAAAAAAGTTCAGGGGTCGATTACGTGTGGGGAAGGATAAGCACCCCCCACAACGCCCAAAATTGGTACCCATCGATTATATATTGTCTCTAAATAGTAGAAATCTAAGAATTCGAATATATATTTAAATCACGATTTCATTATTCCTAATTCAACCATACAAATATTATAGAATAAAAATTATAAGGAAAATATAAAATATTCTCTTATTTCCAATTGAAGAGAAAATACTCCCTAAAATACTTTAGGACGAATATTTCTCTTTTCAACTGAAATAAAAAGAATATAATAATTTTTCCTAAGGATTCCATGTTAAAAAAAATTTATTCTACCAAAGAAAAAAAATTAAATTCATTAATCCGAATATTATTAGAAAAGATAAGAGATATTCAATAATTTAAAAACACCGAGACATAATCTCTAATAAAATTAGCAAATTGTCTCGATAAGTTTAAAATAATGAATATTTCCTTTTCCCTCCAAAATTAATTAATTTTAAATGTAATCAATTTTTAGGTTTTTCTAGTGGGATATTTATTTATTTTAAAATATCGAAAAATGACATCTAGTTGTTTTAAGACTGTCCTATCATAATATTTTAAAATACATAAATACCACTCTTAATCCAATTATCTAATCGATTAAGTTATGCTAATGAGGCTTTTAAATAAAATAGAATATGATACAATGAAGCACTTAGAGAAAAATACACATGGATTAAAAGAACAATTTTAAATTTATTTTTAACTTTATATTACTTTATAAATATATATATAATTTTTCTAAATATTATATTTAACCTACGTCATGATATTTATTATAAAACACTATAACATTTACACAATATAATATATATGTAATACTAAATAAATACATAATGAAGTAAGAGACAATAAAATACATAAATAGATACATATTACATAAAACATACTTTAATGGTATAAATAAACAATATACATTTATCTATTCAGTACATGGTGACAAAATAATTATAAAGCAACTTTGATATCTTAAACATTAATAAAACAAATATTATAGCATTAAACCAGAAAATAACAAGTAGAAACACCATAATCATAATAAAACCATAAACATAGGACTAAAATGGAATATCATAAATATCAATAGCCAATCTCGAACAAAAAAATAATACATCTAACAGAGGACTAAATTAAAATAATATAAAAACATGCATCTAATTTATAAATCTTAGAAAATAAAAGGAAATGGTGACTAAATCACAAAAAACGCTAAAGCTAAGAGGACCTGAAGCACGATTAACCCTAAATAATGACTAACACGCTAATCATATTAAACAGAAAGGACCAAGAGGGTGATTTAACCTTAAACTAGTGGCCATTGTGTATAACACGCTAAAGGTCCAGGGACCTTAGCGTGGTTTACCCAAAAAGCTTAAATATCAATACCCCATCCCTTTCCAGAACTCATTTCTGTACGAAAATAGCCCTAACTCCTCCCCTTTCTTCCTCACTCCAAACGATGTTGCACGCCGAAACCAAGACAAAGCTCGGTCACCCCACGTCGGTGGTGGCCCTCCTACGCTCGTGTTAGTCACACACACTCAAATCTCGCCAGATTCAGCCCTAGACCACCCTAAACCGAGACTAAGACCACGACCTTAAACGACCAAAAGGGTTTCTGACGCTCTCCTTTCACAACGAAGACACCCCGGCGGCGTGAACTCAACCGACCGGGCAAGGTAAACTCTCTCCTAAATCGTTATTTTATTTCATTTTTGTTTTTTTACCCTATAACTAGCATCCAACAGAAAAAAAAAGAAAAATAAAAACACACATCGAAATACCTTCAAACGAGATTGCTGGAAAAAACTGATTGTATTTCCTTTTTGATTGCTCTGAATTTTTTTTTTCTGTCCCTCTGTCTCTGTGTACATTTTTATTTTTCCATGGATTATATATCCATATTCTTACATAAATTTAATATAAAATAAAAACCTAATATAATACTAGGTTGCTGTTTGTGATCATTGTGGGTTTTAATGCCCCATATATTATGGGGTTTTGTTGCAGGCGTAGGGACATGGGAGCTATTTGGTGGCAGGGGTGAGGCATGAGGCTGCTGTAAGTTTAGTAAAAAAAATTGGTGCGTACAGCTGCCCCTCTTTGCTCGTTGTTGTGGAACAGGAATAGAGCAAAGACATAAAGCACCAATTTTTCTTCTGATCGAACTGTCAAACACTCAAGCTCCAAGTTCTTCCTATCGGGTGAGTTCTTCTCATTATGAACTCTTCGCTGGGGACGTCAATCCACTATCTTCTGCGATGGTTGACTCAAGGTGATGCTGATCCAAATTCTTATGTGATGGATTTGAGTGAAATGAAAATGTTGATCCACCTCATTCTGCGATGAACAGAATGTTG